ATATTAGTTTCACCTTTTAAGTTGCATTACTAAAATAAATGAACTTTTGCACAATATTCTAATTTTTGAGTTTCACCTGTATAAGCCATTATCTGGGGATGCTGTCAACTTCATTATATCATAAGGTAATGTTACTATTTGAGGAAACTGGAGCAATGCAGTCTGTCTCCGATCATCCAAGTTTAATAAATCAAAACCTTTCACTCCCCAGTCACGTAAAGCCAAACCTGCTATAAATTAACCAATTTACTCTCTGGCTTGTTGGCCTTGTGGTCAGCTGAAGCACACTTTTGGAACAGGAGTGCTTTCTCTTGGGGATCATTACTCTCTCGGTCTTTCCAACCACATTGGGATGGATGAAATGCAGGGTTTTTATTGAGATTTTGCGGAACGAAAACTGAAGAGAAAACGAATGGATTTTTTCGGTGAAAACAGTGCAAGGCTGAGCAATTCTTTGTAGTTTGGGGTGTGGTTGACAAAGGATTTATATGAAGGTTTCTGGCTTTCCCCTTTCAAAATGGTCATAATGGTTAAAGGGGATTTAAATAGGAAAAAAATCTAACAGGTTTAAAAACATAAAAAATAAACCCTATTTCATATATGCTCACAAAGTGGTTTGCCACGATAGTCTCTCAAATGGCTTTCTCAGCTTCGCAGTGGAGCCTCCCGTTCTGATGTTCCCGAGATCTCTCATTCAAGTCATACTCAGGCCTAATGTGGTTTTCCAGTTCCTGGTGTCAGCAGGTCAGATGCTTCCACTTGTTCTGGCTGGACATCAGTCCATTGAAGATGGTTGAGAGGAGCAGAACAGACACGGAAACAGATGCAAATAAAGAATTGTAAAAAGAATGAATGAAAAATAGGAATAATAATACGGAGACGTTTGCGGCTGGATCATCCATCTGAAGCATAGACTCATAGGGCTGGAATGCACCTTGGGGGCCTTCTAGCCCAACCCCATGCCCAAGGCAGGGAGGCCTTATACTATTGTGAACAAATGGACCGGTTGCAAGTCATTTTTTTCATCACTGTCGTAACTTTGAATGGTTGACAAACAAATGGTTGTAAACTGAGGACTACCTGAATTTCAGTGTAGGCATTGTATTGTATTAACCCACATGTTAGTCATGACCTAAAGACATGCTATGCAAATCTGATATGACTCGTAGTATGACAGAGTTTGTATACAGTTAATCCTTGACTTATGACCACAATCGAGTTCAACATTTCTAAGTGAGCCATTTGTTAAGTGAGTTTTTCCCCATCTTATGACCTGTCTTGTGACAGTTGTTAAGCAAAATACTGAAGTACCATATTTTTCAGAGTATAAGATGCATCTTTCCCCCCCTAACAAAGGGTGAAAATTTGGGTGCATCTTATACATCGAATGTAGTCCCATCCACCCACCAGCCCCCACCCTTTGGCCTCTGTCTCCCAGCAATTTACCTCCTTGCAGCAAACAGAGAAAATGGGGCTTGTGGAAGCTGCAATAGGCTATAGAAATCCTTCCAGCCTGAAACAGTTGATGTTTTCCAGTGGAAGAGAGGGAGTGGTCACATGTGAGTATTCTCAAAGCCTGATTGGTCCAAAGACTGAGAGTAAACTTCTTAAATACTCCTTCCTGCTATCCTTGCCCAGTTTCCTCTCACTCTGTTGGTCCAAGCACTGGTTTGAGATTGAGTTAGGTAGGAATTGTAGTTCTTCATTATCTCTCAGCATAATTTTGGCTAATTGGGCATTCTAACCTTCCTCTAAATTCTTTCTATCTAATTTCTGCTGCAGCCCCAGGGACAGCTTGTCTGCCTTGCGCGGTTGGGGAGAGCCCTGTGGGGCATCCGCCCTCCCCTCTGCGGGCCAGGAGCCATCCCTGTCCTATCCCCGGGCCTGCGGGGGTGTTTTGGGCTCTTTTGCACCCTTTGAGGGTGTTTTAGATTTGGAAGAGGCTTGCCTGGGGGAAGCGAGGTAGATCAGAGCTAGCCTCCTCACGTGCATAGAAAGCCTCCAGCGGAGCCGCTGCTTTAATTCCGGGTGGCTTCCGCTTGACGCACCTGTTTGCATTGGAAGGAGTGGGGACCTAGGGGAGTGCGAGCCAGTGGGCTGCGTGTCCCAGGTCCCGGGGCGGCCATTACAACGCCTGCAAGCCGACCTCGAACTTGCGATTCTTGCGGCCGCCATTTTGCCTGTACTGCGGTAACCCACATGTTGGTGGCCATTTTGTCGGCACCCTGTGCGCGGGGCCTTGCATTACCGGCAGACCTATAGTGACCTTCCGTCCAGATTGATTACTTGGGGCCTACACAGGCTCACCTCGGGGGTCCAGGCTTCGGCAAGGCCTACAGTGGCCTATTTGAGGTGGTTCCCCGTGCTTCAGGACACGTGAGTGGGGACTATGGAAGGGAGTTCTGACATTCCCCAGGGCCAGGGTGGTGTTCCCTTGGAGGTGGAGGAGGACCTGGGTCAGGGGTCCGGATCCAGGGATGACTCCACTAGGCTGGTGGCGTCTCAACGGCCCTCTAGGGCCATTGAAAGGGTGGAGTCCAGGAGGCACAAGGCTTTGGAAAAAACGTTTGCCAGGGCCGAGAAACAGGCCAGAGTGGTTGGGCCTTGCTCAACCAGTAGATCCCGGTCACCTATCAGGCCTTCTTCTGCTCCAACAGCTTGCCCTAGGGGTTTCAGCCCATCCTCTTCCTCGGCTTCCCCCGCTAGATCTCAGGGTTTCGCCAGGCACAGGGGTTCTCCTTCCCCATCTGTCTCCTCTGGGTCGGGTAGGGATGCCCCTGCAGACCCTTTGGAAGGAACTTCGAGAATGGTCCTCTCTTCCCATAGGTTGGCTCCACGGGGCCCAAGTCCAGTCTATCAGGACTTTGAGGACCTAGAGCGTCTCCCTGAGGGGATTAAAAGGCTTGTTTCTGCAGCCATCTCTAGGGGCA